GGAGGACAGTGAAGAAGTAACAAAAGAAGGCAGTAATCTAATCTATAACTGTATTATCAGTTCTTAAATAATTGCTTTGAGAAATTTGGGTTTTAGTTTTTGAATGAAAAACTGTGAAGATTATAATCAAGCTTGGTAGTGTTAATTATTCTATGAAATATAAGGCAGAATCTCTGTATCTTTTTACAGCTTTAAGAAATTAATTAAGTTTATTCATACATGTTAAGTATAGATAGTGAAAACATTCATCATAGGGAATTTGTACCTGTACATGATATATCTTGATACTTATTTTTCCCATCCCTCTATCCTCCCTTCTTCCCTTCCCTACCCTTCTTCCCTTTTTTATTTACAAAAGCTTTCTTTCCATTTTTTCCTTCTTTTCTCATTTTTTCTTTTCCCTCCCTTCCTTTCTCATATCCCCATCCCTAGTACCCCTGCCCATTTGAACATTTTCTTTCTATTTCACAGTATCTATTATACATTTTAGTCCTTACTTACACTTTCAGTTTCTTATACCGGAGAAACAATGCAATATTTAAACATGTGTGTCCGATTTATTTCACTGAAGAATATGGTCTTAAGGTGCATCCACTTAGCTATAAATGTCCCAAGTTTATCTTTATGGCTGAGTAGTATTCCATTGTATTAAAAAATACATCTTCATTTATTGGCTTATGGGCATTTGGGCTGTTTCCAAGAGTTAGCAATTACAAACTGTGCTATTATAAACATAGGTGTCCATATATCACTGTGATATGATGTTTTTAATTCTTTAGGGAAGATACCCAGCAGAGGTAGAGCTGGATCAAATGCTCTACTTTTAGTGTTTTGAGGAATCTGCACACTGATTTCCACAGTGGTTGCACCAGTATACACTCCCGCCAACAGTGGAGAAGGGTTCCTTTTTCCCCACAGCCCTACCAGCATTTATTATTGGTTTATTTCTTGATAACAGCCATTCTTTTTGGAGTAGAATGGACTCTCAGCATTGCTTCAGTTTGCATCTCTCAGATAATCAGTGATGTTCAACTTTTTTAATATATTTATTTGTGGTTTCTACTTCTTCATCTGAAAAGTTTCTATTCATTTCAGATGCCCATTTTTGAATTGGGTCTTTAAATTTGGGCAGTCTGATTTTTTTTAGTTCTCTCTCTCTCTTTTTTCCTCCCAGTACCTAGGGATCAAACTCAGGACCTTGCATTTGCAAGACAGGCGCAGTGCCACTCTGTAGTACATTTTTTGATTTGGATATGTTAAACCATCCCTGCTTCCCTGGGGTGAATCCTGCTTGGTCATGGTTTATAATCTTCTTGATGGTTTGCTGCATTCTGTTTGCTAGTATCTTATTGAGGATATTTGTGTCTATGTTCATTAGGGAGAGATTGGCCTGTAGTTTTCTTTTTTGGTTGGATCCTTCTATGGTTTTGGTTTCAAGGTAAACTTGTTTGCAGGAATGAATTTTGGAGTATTGCTTCCCTTTTAGTTTCTTTAAAGAGTTTGAGCTGGGCGTGGTGTCGCATGCCTATAATCCCAGCACTTGGGTGGCTGAGGCGGTCGCTGAGGTGGGAGGACTGCTAGTATCTTATTGAGGATATTTGTGTCTATGTTCATTAGGGAGAGATTGGCCTGTAGTTTTCTTTTTTGGTTGGATCCTTCTATGGTTTTGGTTTCAAGGTAAACTTGTTTGCAGGAATGAATTTTGGAGTATTGCTTCCCTTTTAGTTTCTTTAAAGAGTTTGAGCTGGGCGTGGTGTCGCATGCCTATAATCCCAGCACTTGGGTGGCTGAGGCGGTCGCTGAGGTGGGAGGACCACTGTGAGTTTGGGACCAGCCTGGGCTACATAGTGAGTTCCAGGTCAGTCTCAACTACATAGTGAGACCCTGTCTCAAAACACCAAAAAAAAAAAAAGTTTGAGAAGTAGCAGCATTAGGTCTTCTCTACATTTCCTGTAGAATTCAGCAATAAATCTGTCATGGCCTGGGCTTTTCTTTGTTGGTGACTTTTTCCTTACAGCTTCAATTTCATTGATTTCATTCAATTTCATTGATACTGGTTTATTTATTTAGAATTTTAAATTTTCTTGATTCAGCTTTGGTAATTCACATATAGCTAGGAATCTGTCCATTTCTTCTGTGTTTTCCATCTTGTTAGAATGCAGATTTTCAAAGTAGGTATTGATAATCTTTTAGATTTTTGCAGGATCTGTTATGATTTCACCCTTTTTTATTCCTAATTACATAGATTTGAGTCTTTTCTCCCCCACCCCCTTTTGAGACAGGCTCTCACTGTGTAGTTGAGACGGACCTGGAACTATGTAGCCCAGGCTGGCCTCGAACTCAAAGCAATCCTCCTGCCTCAGCCTCTTGAGTGCTGGGATTACAGGTGTGCACCACCACGCCTGGCCTTTTTCTTTCCTTTTTTGGATAAGGTTGGCTAAAGGTTTATCAATTTCATTTAATCTTTGAAAGGACCAACTTTTCAACTCATTGATTCTTTGTTATCATTTTCTTAGTCTCCATTGCATGAGTTTCTGCTCTGGTCTTTATGACCCTACCCCACCCCGGTATAGAGCTTTGGGGTTGACCTGCTCTTGTTTTTCTAGAAGCTTGAGGTTCAACATTAGTTTATTTGAGCTTGTTCTGTTTTTATAACACAGGAATTCACCACTATTAATTTCCCTCCCAGGACTACTTTCATTGCTTCCCACAAGTTCCAGAATGTTGTATTGGCATTATTGTTTAATTGTAGTCCTCATTATCTTTTTCTAGAATGTCCTTCAGAACATTTTGGAGTGCTGTCTTGGTGGTTCTGAATTTCTTCAGGTATTCTTTGTCGTGAAGAACATGTTCTTATTTGTCCATCAATTTTGAAAGATAATTTTGTGGGATATATCAATCTGGGTTAGATGTTGTTTTTATTTAGGGCTTGAAATACTTAATTCCAAGCTTTCCGTGACTTGAGGGTTTGTGTTGAGAAGTCTGCTGTGATTCTGATGGGCTTTCCTTTGTAGATGATTTCTTTTCTCTGACAGCTTTTAATACTTTGTTTGTGTGTTGAATTTCTGGAATCTTGACTATTGTGTGGCTTGGTGTAGTTTTTTTTGTTTTGTTTTGTTTTGTTTTGATCATAGGTAATTGGAGTTGTATATGCCTCACTTATCTGTATGTCAGGTTCTTTTTCCTTGCTTGAGAAGTTTTCTGCCATTATGTCTGAAAAAAGAGGTTTTTAATGTCATTTGCCCTATCTCCTGCTTTTTTATTGACTTTGATCAGTTTCTTGTTATTCTTTGCATCATCTAGCAGCTAGCTGTTGGATTGATTTTTTTTTTTGCGCTGCCTTGCTATTTTAAAGAAATCTTTATTTTCATGGTCACTAACCACAATCTTGTCTTCTATATCAGATATTCTGTCCTCACATTGGCTCATTCAGCTGTGTGTACTTTTGGTGGAATTTTGAATCTCCTGGGTATCTGTTTGAATCTGTTTTATGGATTCCATTTCTTTCCTATGTTGGCTACTCATGGTTTCCATCATTTTCCTAAGAGGCTATATTTTTTATCTGTATCTGCTCTAGAGTCACTATATCTGTTATTGTGGTCACCATCTCTATAGTTATCTGAGATACTATTTCTGCTTTGATTTTTTTTTTTTTTCTAGATCCTCATTCATTTGCTTTGTTACTTCTGTTACTGCTTCAGAGTCCAGTTAGGTGGGTTTTGAATTGTTCCACTTTATTGCCCCCTGGGTTTGTGTTTGGCGAGGTGGAAGTTTGGGGTTGCATCTTGCTTAACTGACTTCTCATTTTATTTATATACATGTATTTTTAATTTTTAAATTTATTTTTATTTTTAATTCCTGGATTGATGCTTATAAATTGCTTGTGGCAAGTAGCTTTTTTGCTAGTATTTAGAACCCTAGGGAAATGATTCTTTGTCTTCCAGGTGTAGCTGGCTTTGGGGTTTTGAGTCTGCTGGAAGAATCTACCTCTTCAATTTATTAGGGATGAGAGATTGCTGCCTATTTGGCCTAGACCCTGGTTGTTTGGCACTGGCCTATACTATGGTGTATGACCCTTACACAGTCTCAGTCTTGGCAAACCAGGAAGAACAACAGATGAGAGCAACTATGTCACCTTGGCTAAAGTAGTAAAATCATCCACAGTGGTAGCATCAAATACAGCCTAGAAAATGACAAACAGCCACTGCAATCTGCTGTGTTCACTGCTTTGTTCCACTGGTGTGTTTCTCAGTAGAGGTCTCTGAGGTTACCAGTCAGTAGTCATAGTGTGTGTGCAGGTTTGAGTTGCCCTTCCTATGTGGTGAGTCAGGGTTCAAGGAGAAAGCACACTTGTTGTTTCCTTCTTTTTTGTTGAAGTCTCTCTTCATTCTCCCTGTGGGCTTCAATTCTCACTTCATTTCCTTGCTAGGTCCCAGGGACCCACTTCCCTCCTTCATCTCTTCCTCACATTGCTTATTCTAGCATCTGGACAGCAAGTCTCAAAGAGGCTATTTCCCTGCTGTTCACCACTCCATCATCTTCCCAGGAGTCTATTTAATTTTATTGAGATAGGGTCTCACTAATTTGCTTAGGCTGGCCTGAAACTTGCAGTTCTCCTGCTTCAGCCTCCCAGTACCTGCACCACTGTGCCTGGAAAAATCTTCCTTCTTGTGGTATGCACACCTGTGAGAACTTGATTAACTTTCTTTAGAACATTCTAATTATGGTGGCAAGCCTATGTATTTAAGCTTAATTTGCAACCAGCACACAACTTGGCATATAGTCGTTGAATGAAATGGGACCTCAGAGTCTAAGACCCCTAGCAAAGAAGAGCATAAGTGAAAAGGACAAGGAGGCATAGTTTAGTTCTACCCCTCCCAACACCGATGAAAAGATAGTGTATTTATTATTTTCCATCAGTGTTAATGTATGACAGTAGTTTGTACTTTTATCTTGTGATACCTGATAATTCCAAATGTTTACTTATATGTATCTTTTAGGTGCCCTAATGTGAATTTGCAAAAGCTGCCAGAACAGTGGTTATGGAATGTTTTGGAGGAAGTTAAATGCAGTAACCCTTCATCCAAACTCTGTGCTACACGGCGCAGTGCTGGGATCCCTTTCTACATACAGGTACTTACCTGGAAGATTGTGGTTGGTCATCTTTTTGTAGTGTGTTCTATCCTTGACATACGAGTAAGTCACATAAGGCCCATCTCTGTCTTTTCAATACTACACGTAGGATCTGTGGCTTTGTTTTAATGCGTGGCCTGTAAATAGAGAGAGGTGTAGATTTCCACCTGGGTAGTAAGTAGGTGTCCATCACTGTGGCACATTCATTGATCACTTCCAAGAAGTAAACATGCCAACCTTCCCTCTGCCCCCCACCCCAAATCACAAAAATAATAATATTCCCAATTTCAAGATCCTCAGGAATCTCCAGTGTTTTTTATAATCCTTCCATAAAATTACCATAATCTTAGTAGTAGCTGACATTTATCAGTAATTTCACATATTACCTCATTTAATCCTCCCTCAAACCCTGTTCTTATTAGGTATTCTTATTATATTTAGGTAGGTATTCTTATTATATTTATCATAGAGAAAAACTGCTGTGTATAGAGAAAGAAATTGGAGGTTAGAAAAGGTATGAGACTTGCCAAAAGTCTAGAAATAGTAACAGCTATGAATACTTCTGATCTGTCTGCATGGGAGAATGTATTTGTGTACCTGCATGTATATGTGATCCCTGCACACAGCTAAGAACATGCTAGATCCACTGTTTGCCTCTTTCTTCATAATTTCACCTTGAAGATTGCTCTAGATCAGCATACCTAGATATTCCTGTCAATTGGTATTTCATTCCCATTGTGTAAAAAATGAGACTAACCTCTTCAGGATCCCAAAGAATAAAAATCAGTATCCCACAGTACTAATTAGACTCCATCCCAAGTGGCGTTTAATGTGGAGTAAGATAAAATCCAAGAATGGAGTAGTGTGATGAAAACAATGAAAAGAAATAAAGTTTCTCTCTCTCTTTTTTTTTTTTTTTACTACTCTTATATTGTATACTTTTTTTAAATTCCTCTGTCAAATTCCCAATCCCCTCATGATTTTTCGGTGACAGTGGCCACCAGTTGCAGGAATTGTTGAGAGAGGTAGTTAGATTAGTTCTCCTGGCTAAATTTTGGTGACCTTTGGCAATCAACTCCTTCCTGATCTGACCCCTTCTGGATTAGTGTGATTCTTTTTGACATTTATACATCATTTGTTTGTACATTATTTATCTGAGTTTATACATAATTTGTTTGAGGACAGATGTTAAGGTGACAACATGGTCTTGCTGCATGTTTCTGGTGTGTGTTTCCTGTCTGTGGTTTTCAGCTAGTACTGTACTAGGCATGGTTGTAGTGATTAGCAGTATGATTTGCAGGTGAACTTTCTTACCCCAGCCTCACTTGGCAATAACTTTTCCTTGCTCTTTAAAGAAAAAAAACAGTGGTGCCTAGAAGATATTTGGGTCATTGAGTATAACTTTGTTATTTATTTCAGTTAAGTCTAAATTATATGAAAAGTCTGCTCAAAGAAAGTTCCATTTGTTTCTCTCAGCATGACTTGCTAATAAAGGTGTGTTCTTGTGCTTAGTTTATAAACTTTTGTGTAAACAGATATAACATTCTTTGAAAGTGTTTAGAAATAATATGTATTTCTTATGAACATAAATATACTGTGAGAAATTTCCTTTAATCCTGTTTGTGTGTGTGTGTGTGTGTGTGTGTGTGTGTGTTTTATTTTCCTCTTTTGTGCATTAGAAACAATGAATAACTTAAAACTTTCACTCTAGAGAGCTGGTAGCTTTATATGGTACTCATGAAAAATAGATATAAAAGAAAGGTAGTCGGAGAGTGCAGCTAAAGTGATTTTTCTTTAACAGCTTTGTTGAGATATCATTCATGTATTTAAAGCATGCTATTCAAGGACTTGGATTTTCAGGGTTGTACACACATTAGCACAATCCAATTTTAGCATAGGATATCACTTGAAAATCCACGAAGCCCATTAGTAATCACTCCTCATTCACCTCCACCTCTGCTACTCCTAGTCCCAGGCAGTCACTTATCTACCTTCTGGACGTTTCATATAAATGGAGTTTTATAATATGTGATCATTTGTGTCTGACTTCTTTCACTTATTGTCATGTTTTCAAGTTCACCCATATTGCTGCATCCATTAGTACTTTGTTCTTTTTATTGCCTCAAGTGGGTTGATATCACATATTTACATTTATTAAATATCAGCAATATTTGCCACAAACTCAACGAGCAACTCCTTCAGACTTCAAATACTGGATCCATTTGGAGTCTGTAGTATTTTTTCTTATCCTATGGAGTTTGAAATATTATATTTCAGTTAGTCTTCTAGGAGTAGACTCTTCTGTGAAATAGTAAATAATTCTTCTATCTCTAAGAATCCTCCAAACAAGTAAAAAGAATTTTTTTGTTGACTAAATTGTTAACAAAGTGACTTGCTTAATTCTCTCAGAAACTTGCCACCAAATCGTGATCGCCTTGGAATAATCATTAAGAGCCATCGTACAGCCTCTTAGAATTGTATGATTGAACAAGCACATGATTGGGAAGTGATTAAGCCACTCACCCAGAGTAATATAGCGTATTGAACTTGCGTTGATAGCTATGCCTTTATAAAGGAGAGTTTGAATTAGAGGATTTTAATTTTGAGAATCGATACAAGGAAATCACAAATAGGTACATGTCAAATAAAAGCTCATTAATTTTTGTGTTACTTTTCCATAGGCATTGTTGGCATCTGAACCAAAGAAAGGCAAAATGGATTTGTTGAAAATAACAATGAAAGAGTTAATCCTTTTGGCTGGGCCTGCAGATAACTCACAGAGCACAGTCCCCCAGGTAATAAGGGAAATAGACAAAATTTGCTTGGAAGACAATGGGTGTAAATCTTTGCTGTGTATTTTTTTAAGAAAGCATCTGCTAGATATAGAACTCTTGAAGAGAGGCTGACATTTGAAGTTTTTTATAAATACTTTTTTAGATGTTTTATTTTTATTTCTACATATTTTTATCCCTATAATCATACATGATATTTAAAATTTTTGGATTATTTTTTGCTGTTGTGAAAGAAAAGAATTGATTTTTTTTTCAGTTATTGTACATTTACCTGAATTGCTACAATATAACAATTACTCGTCTATGAATTCTTTTGAGTTTTCCTTATAGATAATCATATCTTCAGTAGATAAGACTTTTTGTTTTGCTTTTCTAATACTTAATCTTTGTTTGTTCATTAGTTTATTTGTTTGAGACAGGTTCTCACTATGTAGTCCAGGCCTGCCTCGAACTTGCAGACTGTCCTCTGATTTGTGGTTTTTTTTCTGCCTTAGCTTCCCAAATGCTGGGATTACAAGAATATACTACCATGTCCAGCTCTTAATTTTTAAAAAATTTTTCTTACTGTGCTGCTGAAACCTGCAGTAGAGTTTTGCATAGATATAGAGATAGCAGGAATCCAATCCTTATGTTGTTTTTGTTATTTTTTGTAAATTTTACTCTGTCCTTTATCAACAAGAGTTAATTTTATTTAATGCTTTCCAGCATCTTTTGAGGTAAATACTTTTTTCCCCCTAGAATTGGCAAATTCTGTGAATTATGTTAATTTTTTTAACTGGAATACTTTTTTGGGGTGGTACTCAGAATTGAACTCAGGACCTTGTGCTTGCCAGGCAGGTGCGGTGCCACTCAGCTAAATCCCCAGCCCCCTATTTGTGTACTGAGCGTGAACCAAACTTGGACATGATGTTTTTATACATTGTTGGATTTGGTTTAAAATCTTTAAAAAATGCATTTTTGTGTCTTTCATCGGATTACTGAGGTCTGTGATTTTCCTTTCTCTTGATGTTCCTGTCCATTTTTAATATGTATTTTACATTTTAATGATTGTATACATACTGAGAGGTGTACAAGTCTTGTGTAAAGCTCAATATAGTTTCTCAAAAGGAACACACTTGTGGAGCCAAGTAGAAATGGAACATTTCTAGCACTGAAAGCCCACTCATGCTCTCTTTCAATCAGCATCCTCTCCCCAAGAGTACCACCGGGCTAACTTCTAATACTTTAGTTTTAGTTTTAATTGTTATTTGAATTCTGAAAAGATAAAACCACACATAGCTGGGTGTGGTGGCTCATGCCTCTAATCCTCATACTCTGGGAGGCTGAGACAGAAGGATCCTAAGTTTGAGCCCAGCCTGGGCAATTTAGTAATTTAACAATATTCTATCTCAAAATAAAAAGCCAAAAAGTACGGGGGAAATAGCTCAGTGTGAAAGCCCTGAGTCCAATCTCCAGTAAAAACAAGCAAACACCCACAAGCCACATGTTTTAAACCATGTTTTTGGTATGATCTCTTTTGGTCAACATTACATTTATGATATCCATCAATATGGTAATTTATTCATTTTCATTGCTAATAATCTTGTACATACAGATTACCAACTTGAACTTTACACTTTTAAATTTTGATTTATTAAGAATAGTTTCTTTTTTTTTGATGCTGGGGCTTGAACTCTGGCCTTGTGCTTGCAAGGCAGGCACCGGAACCACTGAGGCAAATCCCCAGCCCCAAGAATAGTACTTTTAAGATAGTTCTCAGAGATGTTTAATGGTGTTTCTGTTGAGGATACACTTAGGGATAATTACTGGATACAGTACATGTAGTTGTTCATACTTTGTTCTGATGGCCACGTTATAGTAGATTCACAAATCTGGGTGTCTTCTCTTTGCAGCTTATGTAAGATGGTGGTTATGTATTCTCTGAGTGTAGAATTCATTTGTGAAATCACATGGTGCTTTTTTTTTTGTTATTGTTGGTTTTATATTTTAAGTCTTTGAGAAGACTTTTATTGGTTTTCTTTAATGATAGTATCTGTAAGTATTCAGTTTCTCCTTGAATTTGTTTTGATAAAATTTGTATTTTAGTCAATTATTTTATTTTTATTATTTTATTTTATTTTTTTTGGTACCAGCGATCGAACTCAGGACCTTGTGTTTGCAAGGCAGGCAACAGCACCACTAAGCTAAATCCCCAGCCCTGTTTATTTTATTTTAATTCTTCAAACTGATTCCAGTAGGATTGGTCACAGTATTACTTTTTGTTTTATTCTCTGCTATATCTGCAGGCATGTCTTCTTTCATAACATTTCTTATCTGTTCCTTTTTTTTTCTTCTCCATTAGTCTTACAGAAATTTTTTTGTTTCAGAGAATCCTCTTGTGTTTTTATTAGTGCTCTTAGTTGTATCTTTGCTATTAAATTTTTTTCTCTTTTCATTTTCTTTCTCTGTTCTTTTTTGGTCATCTTACGTAGGCATACAGCACATTTATTTTTAGTCATATTTTTTAGTACAAGTAGTTCATATATATATATCTAAGTATACATTTTTTTTTTTAAGTTTCACTAAGGTGCATCCTTCTGTAGTAGCTTCATTATTCAACTTTAAATATTAAAATTTTTTCTTTGATTAGAGTTAATTTAGAAAATATTTTTAAAAACTATTTCTAATTTAGTTTCACTGTGATCAAAGAATATAAAACAGTAATTATTTGGTATTTGTTGAGACTTTATTTGTGGCTGAGTTTTACATCATTTAAAAAAATAAATGTTGGGGCCAAGGATGTAGCTCGGGGGGCCATGCCTGCCTGGCAAATGCAAGGTCCTGGATTCAGTTCCCAGTACTGGGAAATGAGTGAATGAATGTATGTATTATATGTGTCCTTAAAAAGAATGTTTTAAGTGCAAGATTCTACATATGTTTATTGAATCAGACATTTTTATTACATTCTTCAAATCTTTTCTTTTTTAAATTTTTTCCTCTATTAGTACATGTTTGGAGTTCCTACAGTTTTTAGTCCTATCTTGGTGTGTAGTTACATCTACAAAACATGTCCTGTTTCTTTTTTTTTTTAATCCCCTTCCCCTTCCTCCTCCTCCAAATCCCCATCTCATTTTTCAGTCTTATTAATTCTAATTACTCATTATTATGTCTTATTAATGTGCTGTATAATTTGTGGATTGTCCATTTCTTCCTGTAATCTTATGCAAGGTTTCGAATTAGCATAGTTTTCAGCCCACAGCTGATTTTGAGCTCTTCCTTCTAGGTCCATGCTCTAAATATCCTTCGAGCGTTGTTTAGAGACACACGTCTGGGAGAAAATGTCATTCCTTTCGTTGCTGATGGAGCCAAGGCTGCGATTCTAGGCTTTACCTCACCAGTCTGGGCAGTGAGTGGTTTTACCATTTATTTTCATTGACTTAATTATACTTTTGAGTAGGTTGTAATAAACTGACCTTTCATAGGGTGATTAAAAAGTACATACTGCATTTTATCAAGGAGTTTCTGTTAAGGGATAAATAAATCCTTGGATCAAGCTGTGTTTTGATTCTTGATATTTGATGGTTCCATTTTATCTTATTTGCTGATTTTTTTAGCCATAACTATTTTATTTTAGTGGTTGCTTTAGGGTTTATAGCATTTATCTTTAACTTATCATAATCTGCCTTCAAGTGATATTATACTATGCCATTTAAAGTTTAAGAACTTAATAATAGTGTACTTCTATTTCTCTCCCACAATCTTCACACTATTATGCATCTTACTTTTATGTTGTTATAAACCCATGTCACATTGTTACTACTTTTGTTTAAACAGTTATCCTCTTTTTTTTTTTTGGTGGTAGTAGTACTGGGGATTAAACCCAGGGTCTTCATACTGCATTACATCCCCAGCCATTTTTTATTTTTTATTTAGAGACAAGGTCTTGCTAAGTTGCCCAAGATAGGCTCAGATCCTCCTGCAGTCCTCCTCCTTCAGCCTCCTACAGTTTTGGGATTACAGGCATGCATCACCACTACTGGCTCTATTTTTCTCTTTCATTTAGCAGATTAACCATTTTTAAATACATACAATTCACTGTTTTGTTTTGTTTTATGGTACCAGGGATCAGACTCTGGACTTTGTGCTTGCAAGTCAGGTGACAGCACCCCTCAGCTAAATCCGCAGCCCCTACAATTCCCTGTTGTTAAGTATGCTCTCAGTGTTCATCACTGTTAAATGCTTTCGATGCTTTCTCATCATCCCAAACAGATCTGTAGTAGTTAATCACTAACTCTTCATCTTCCCTCCCTTCATCCCCTGTAATCTCGGTTCTATTCCCTATCTATATGAATTTACCTGATGTAATATATAAGTGGAATTATTCAATGCTTGTCCCTTTGTATTTATGTCTTTAAGGTTTATCTATGTTGGCTGGATAATATTCCATTATATGTATGCAACACATTTTAAAAAATCTATTCATCTGTTGGTAGAATTCAGTTTGTTTTCACTTTTTGGTTATTGTGAATAAAACAGCAGTGAGATACTGACGTGAAAGTTATCTGAGTTTCTGTTTCCAGTTCATTTTGGTATATCATGTAGTTAATCATGTTTAACTTTTTGAGGAACTGCCAAACTCTTTTCCATGATAGCAGCACCATTGTATACTAACATCAACAATGTACAGTAGTCCCAGTTTTTATACATCTTTTTTATACACCAATACCTGTTACTTTGATAGCCCACCCTAATTGATTATAAAGTGGTACACTATACTGGATTTGATTTGCATCTTCCTAATGATTGGTAGTATTGATCTGGAAGCAGAACAGCTCTTAGTATGTTAATATGTCTTCCTTTTCATGCTGTATAATACAGATTCTGTGTATTTGTGTGTTGAATGAATGCTACAAACAAACTATCAAAAATGGAAAAAATACATTAAAATGGAAGAACTTCTGAGCCACATTTTCATTTGCAATATGAGCACTATCCGCAAACATTTTGATTCAGAGCTCTAGAGGTAGTGAGCAGTATTTAGTATACCCTCTGGATTTAAGAAAGTAAATTTTCATGTGCTTTTTCCTGATTTCTAGGAGAAGCATCATAGTTTTTTGTTTGTTTTCCCATGTCGTTGTATCTTCTAGAATAAAGGAAAATAATGAACGGTTTGTAGCTGCCTGAAAAATGGCTTTAAAAAGGCCTGGCAGAGGGAAAGGAAAAAAGAAGCAGGATTTTCAATTCGAGTATTTGCTTGAAAGGTAGTCTTTCTAGTTAGTGAGCTGCATGACTTTTTTTTTTTTTTTTTTGGTACTGGGGATGGAACTCTGGACCTTGTACTCGCAAGGCAGGCAGTGGCACCACTGAGCTAAATCCCCAGCTGCATGTATCATTTTATACCTGTATGAGAAGCCTGTAATTATGAGTCAGTCTCTCTCGGTGGCAGCCAAATGCGTAGACTCCTAGTGTGAAGAGGAATCTTCAAGGTTGCCAGCTCTAGCTTGGAAAATTGGTATCTTCCTGTAAGAGACACAGACTTCTGGAATTACATAACTGCTCTTGAGGACATACTGTTTACCTTTTACTTTTACAGGAAGCAGAGCAATACTTACATTTTGTGTGTGGTCAGAGAGGTAAAAATATGGCTTAAACATCATGAAAATTATAGATCATAAAAGTGATTGCTGGCAGTATCAGTATTGTTTTCTTCAAGCTTAATTGCAAATAATACAGTGAATATTTTCTGTGAAAAGATTTTACCAGAGTGAAACCTGATAATTTTGTTTCTTTCTTTTTTTTTTTTGGCAAGATTGAAAGTGTCAGAAATGAGTGCTTCATGTTTTGGAATAGACATTTTTAAAATACAGAGAACATTTGTTGTTGTAAGCCTAGTAGGTATTAAGCATACCTATTGTTTTGTGGATGTATGTTAAATAGTAAAAATACAAGGATAAATAAGACATAATCATAATGGCTGTCTTACTGAGTATTTACATGTAGCTGGCATCATTTATATTACACTGATTCATCTCAGTAGCTGCTAATATAACCAATATTTCATCAATAAGGAACAAAGCTCAAAAACATGAAATAAGTTTGTCTAAGCACACAAAACTAGGCCAGGTGTGGTGGTGCATGCCTGTAATCCCAGCGCTTGGGAGGCTGAGGCAGGAGGATCGCTGTGAGTTCGAGACCAGCCTGGGCTACATAGCGAGTTCCAGGTCAGTCTCGACTACATAGTGAGACCCTGTCTCAAAAAAGCCACAAAACTATTATCTGACTTCAAAATTTGTGCTATTGTCGAGGAGAGTTGGGTGTTACAGGACTAGAAAAGAGGTACATTTCATTTATCATAGAGGGTGGCTTAGTTACTTTTCTCATTGCTGAGACAAAATACCCAACACTCAAAATTTAAGGAAGGAAGGTTTATTTAGCTCACAATTCTTAGAGGTTTCATTTCATTATTTGCTGGCTCTGAGGCAGGGTGGCATGGCAGGGGGAAAACAGTTCATGGCAGGCAGAAGGCAGCAAAGTAGTGAAGAAACAAAGCAACAGCAACAAGTAATAAGCAGAGACCACAGCAGCCCTCTTTCTGTCTCTTATATTCTATCACACCCCCTAATCCTGGAGTCACACTATGAATCAATCCTAGTATCACATCTTTGATTCCCAGAATGTCACACCCTAGTCCAGCCACCTCTGAAAAGCCCTGCCTATGGCCTTGAACTCACTGTGTAGCCTAGGCTGGCCTCCAATCTGTCGTATCCTACCTCTGCCTCCTGAGTGCTGGGATTATAGGCATGTGCCACCAAACCTGGCAAAGATAAGATCTTATTTAGTGATTCAAATCTAAAGTAATAAAGAATGAAAAGAAAAAGGAAATGAATTAAGGAAAGTAGAAATGCATTACCAGTGGGTCTTAACCTTGCAGAAAAATTGAGCTGGTTGTTTTGTCACATAGCACATCTTTTATTCAAACCATGTGAAATTACCATCTCTTAGCCTAGTCCCATCTCCTGTCTCTTGTTAGTCAAAGTTTATCCTTTGGGACATTAATACAGCTTGGACAAGTATTGGTATAGCCTTAGGGAGCCTCCAGAGAAGCCAGATCCCATATTCTGATGTAGAGTGGTTCATATGAATCTGGAAGTAGTTAGGGGAGCCGCAACCTCCATGAGTAGGGATGGCCAGACCTGAGCCAAATATGCCTCCCATTGCTATTGAAAAAATTGTCGAGAAATTCTTTATGAGCACATTTTATAGCACGGGAGTGAGGGGAGCTGACTGATGTAGATAAAGTATGTGTGGAGTATCTTGATTCTAAGAAGGAAGACCAATCAGGAAGCTATTACAATAGTTCTGCCAAAAGATCATGGTAGCCCAGAATAGAGAAATATTATTAAAGATATTAAAAAGTGATAATTCTTTGTATATATATTTTAGCCATGAAACTAGTTTAATTACAAATTTAGGTAACAGAAAATAATGCATAGATGCACATATAGAGAATCTGAGAATTTTCTGGGCAGTTTTTGTTTAAAAATATCATATTTCTTTTTATATTCAATGACTGTAAGACCCCTGATCTTTTCCTGCAACTTAGCCTTTCCCTAAGCAGACTTCCCAATGGAGCCTGTTGAAAAACTGCACTGTGTATGCCACTTTAAGATCCTTCTAAGAAGCACACAGGGTTTATATTTTTGTCTAGTATATCTTTAGCTTGCTTCTCTCAGGCTGATACTGGTTTACAGAAATTCAAGTATATAAGAGGTTTCAGAGACTGGTGGGAGAAAGACCCTTTCATATCTCCCCAGGAGTACTGCCACTGCACTGATGTATGCCTGTGTTAGCACCAATGACTCTAAGCACTTTGGTAGTTGTGGATTACGCAGAGGTGCTAGGCTGAAGACTGTGTAGTGAGTGCTTAAACCCAGCTGTGCTCCACTCATCTTGCCATGTGCCTTGTAATGGAGCTTCATTCACTCTGAAGAGGTACTTTTTGTATAATTTGCTCACTGGTACTATAAGAACCCTGTCTTTCCTCTGGTCTTATGGAAAGAAGAGATGTCCAGCTGCTTTGAAAGAGAGTCTGTGTGAACTGCAGAATACTGCTGGCCCTCTCCTTACTCAGAAAAATGGAAATCCCAGCACATTCTTCCTGAATTATACGCAAGGGACTCATGACCTAAAGATTTCAGTGTCATTTTTTCAAAGTCACATGACTAAGACATCATCATTAGTCAAATCTCATTAAATTGTTTCAAGAAGTATAGCTTTATTTTCTGATGTTGTGATCTTTTATGTAGAAAATCCTAAGGTACATGAACACACACTAGAGCTAATTTTAGCAAGATTGTAGGGCATAAGATTAAAATACAAACTTAGTTGTACTGTCACAGTGAATAA